TTGGATTCTGGACATGAAGACTCTTCTGGAGCAGGTGTCTAAGACCCAGTGAATGACGAAGCCCTGAAACTCACAGAAGCCCTGAAACCCTTTCAGGAGGCTTTTTACTACTTTCAAAAGAATTAAGTTTAATGCTGTGTTTGTAATAACACACCTCCATGGTGGCTTTTTTTGTTCTTTATGCTCTGATAAAATAGCAGCACTCCATTGCCGGGGGTCAGGCGGCTCTGACGCACCAGTAGGACATTTGATCGTGATTTCAGCGTTTTACTGGTCATCCTCTCACAGAGACGCATCAGGATGAGTCTGTCATACAGGGCGATATTCTCCTCTGAATATTACAGACAAACATACACACAGTTCACCATACTACTGCATCAGATTCCTGTCTGTGAGAAAAGTAGCTCTGTACTTACTCTGCCGGCAGTTAAGAGTGCTGGATATGATTTTGATCTGAATAACCTCATCAAGAGGTCGGCCAATAGTAAATATACACCTGGCCTGAGTGACGTTTCGCAGATCGATAGTTCCTGAGTCTTGAAGCAGGAGTTGCCCACAGAAACCTGAAACCAGAGTAGATGACTTACAGCTTTTTTCCATTTATCCATTCATTCATCCATCTGTCGATTCATGTAACAGTCCAAAAAAAATAATTTATAGAAATTATAAATAATATAAATTATATGAACTATTATAATGTATGGGGAGCCAAACAGGAAGTAATTATATATAATATGAATATTAAGTTGTAATTCTGTATATATAAATCTAAATCTGAATATATAGTTTAAATCATAAATATGTAAATGTAAAACTTGAATATATAGTTATAAGTCTGAATTTATAAATCCTGAATTTATTCATGTAAATCATGAATATATAGTTATAAACCCTGATAATATATTGAAATGTTATACATTTTGTGAACACAATCATATTTAGAGTTCTAACTATATATTCAGATTTACATATATATTGAGAGACGAAATGTATATATTCAGAGTTTTAACCTGGGTTAATATAGTTAACTAAGGATGAAACCATAAAAAACAAAAATGAAATAAAAATAAATGTGTTACTTGAAATAAAATACCTGGGGGGGAAAAAACACTGGTTCTAAATGTATCAGATTTGTATCTATATATTTAAAATTATGTATTTGGATTTATAAATATATTTGTACATTTCATATAATTATTTTCAGTTTGGCCCTTCATAATAATAATAATATATTTATGCCCATTTACAAAGTAAACTTATAAATATATATAAAAAAATCTATTATTATGTTGACATTCTTTTACAATTAACACCAATATTCCAGATTTAAGGAATTTCAAGATAAAAACGCTACAAAATAGAATATGCCCCCTATACTGCAAAGGTTATCAGTCTTATATGGAGGTAGCAGACACTTGCCACCTAACTGGTCTGTGGTGGTTCTGTTGTGCTCATGGTGCTTCTCATCACATCTGCTGTAGGCACGATGGCTGAGAAACTCTTCCTCATCTTCATCATTCTGACAGCTGGAGCTGGTGTGGTTCTCCATGTCCCCTCTCCTCTCCGGGTCTCTGACTGCATGTGAGTGCTGTTGGGCTCTGGTGTGGAGGTCTGAGCTGAGGAACAGTCAGGGCTATAGCAGGCCTGGATGGTGATGGGTTTTGGCAAGTGGAGGCAAAGAAAGGGACTGACAGGAAGAGGGCTGGATGGGCCCATGCAGGACACGGTCCGAGACTGGATCCCATCACCACATGACACTGAGCACTACATTAGAGAACAGAGAGACAATGAGGAATGGAGAAGCACTGACTTTTTTTCTCTCTGTAATATCCAAACTGGGACTCGAGGTTGTTTGGGATAACAGCTGTGTTGTTAGCAGCATATGTAGTCTGGATCATGGATGTGTTGACACATTACCTCACTCCATTCATGCACGTCCCAGTGGAAGGAACAGACTTGTGTGAAGCATGGTGCAGTGACGGGAGGCTTGTTTCCTGGGTCACACCGGTCCTCCTCCACGACCCTCTCTACACCTCCTTCATATTGAACACATCGCACACTCCTCACAGCTACACCCATCCCGCATGACACCGAACAGTCACCCTGCTCTCCCGCCTGCCACCTACACAATCATTACATCAGTTTAATATAATATAATATAAATTCATACAATATCATTTAATATTATACAATATAATTAATATAAATCAGTTGGTTTTGGTTCAAGCCAATTGGTATTAAAGTGGTACTGGACATTAAGTGGTATTATTGTTAACTAAAACTAAAACGATTAAAAAAAAACATTTTCATTACTTGAAATAAAATAAACATGAGGCTTATTTTATTTCAGCTAGTTTCTACTTTCATTTCTCATTTTCATTTAGTTTGAATTAAAGTACTGAAATAACTAAAACTAAATAAACAAAAACTGAAACTTAATAAAAATGATATAGACATTAAATTTTTTTTATAAAAAATGCCAATAACACAACAAAATTACTAAAACTTTTAACTACAATTAAAACGAAAAAGTACAAATAAAATGTAAAAATATTAACAAAAACTATAGTATATCAATTATACTAAAATAACACTGGACCCAACATAGCAGCAAATGTTTACTGTACAAAATTGTCATAAATGAACAAAACGGGACATTGAACAATTTCCTAAACACTGAATTTTACTAATGTTATAACAAATTGCGTAGCCACGTGGATCTCAACTGCACTTTCATGGGACCTTAAGACAACTTAAAATTATTTAAAATAAGAAAAATACAGCTTTAAAATAAGCTAAAACGGATAACAATCAAAATATAAACTGGCATTGTATTTCTTAATTTTAATTTGCAAATCTTATTTAAAACTGGAAAAGTCATTAAATTAAAAAAAGAAAATCCTAAGAAATAATGAAAATCTATAGTGAATATAATTGTTATGTGGAGCTCTAAATTTAAAAAAGGATATTTTGAGATTACTGTGTGCATGATTATAGTTGTGTAGATTATGGTTAGTTGCACTTTATTATTTGCATATAGCACTGATTCTTCACCTGCTGTCTGTGAATCAATCAGGGGTAGTTTCCCAAAATCAACTACTGTCGCAAGTTCTCCATTACCAATAGAGTTCAATGGAACTAACGACCATATTCAGCTAACGATGCTTTTGGGAAACGCACCCCAGAACAGGCCATTTTTGCTATTTTTCAGCTTATTAAAACATGCAAAAATCATTAGAAATTCTTCCAAGTGTAACAGTGAGTAATTGGATTATATTTTCTCAGCATTCCAAGCAGCCTAGTAAAATGTGTGCAACATTATGACTTATTCTGAACTAAGATGGAATGAAGATAGTTCACAATTTTCAGGATAGAAGGCTGAAATGTGTTCAGAAATGTTTGACAGCTTTACCTGGTAGGACAGGCTTCAGTATTACACTCCACCACCTCTGAAGGTCTGGCCACAGACTGACAAGCAGATTCTCCCACCACCAGATCCGTGTTTCCGTCTCCTCCCTGCACCATCTGGGAACAGTATAGG